CGGGGCTTTGACTCTCCCCTGTCGCTCATGTGCAGAGATACAATTTGGATGAGGAGTGATGTTATTGCTTCCTGGAAACAGGACGTGGGTGGGGTCAGGCAGGGAGGCCAGCAAGGGGGAGCTGAGCGAGCTTGTTAGGATGACCCAGGCTAGTGTCGGGAGACAGGTGGGAGATGGCTGGGTTCTTATCCCCTTTGGAGGGGAAGACAGAGTCCAGGTTGGCTGTGAAAGGCAGGAAAGGAAGGATGGCCTTGGAGTATATAAAACACGAAAACCTGCTCCCCTTACAGATGGCGGGACTCAACTTGAAAGGGGCTGAGTGTCTTTGCCCATGGTTCTTTAGCCGGAAAGTGAAGCCGGCCCAGCAGTAATCATGTAATTGACATGTAATCATCCCTGCCCTGCAGCTTACACCTGTGTACCCATGTGGGATGGATGTAGGGAGGTCGGCGTGGTCCTCACTGCCAGGATTGGCCATCTCGCTATCATGCCAGGCATCTTTCCTTACACATTGCATGTCTTCTGCCTCTAGCCATGCCCATCCCAGTCAGCTGGTGCGGAGCCAAAGTCAGTGTACCTGGGCTCACGGAACCCACCTTGCTTCTGTAGTACTCAGCAAGAGCTCACTGTGGTGCTGAGTCTGTCCCACGACCCACTTCATTCTCGTAAGCATTTATGGCCGCAGCTCAGAGGCCATTTGGCCTTTTGACCTTGTCACTTTGGGTCCCTGTCTCCTGTGAAGTCGAGCCCTCTTTCCAGCGAATCCCTTTTATTAGACTCCTGTGAATTATGGGTTGTAGATGGTAGATACTGGCTTAAAAAAGAAAAAAAAAAAAAAAGACTGATTTTCCCAGCAACAGGCAGATCGGGTGGCAAGGTTCTCACTGGGCCAACATCGTTCACTGGTTCTCTGAGGGAGAAAGTGTTGTTTTCAGGACTTTCCTCTGACTGAGCTTCCTTCTTCTTCTTCTTCTTCTTCTTCTTCTTCTTCTTCTTCTTCTTCTTCTTTGTTTTTTATAAATCTGGCTCAGCCACCGCTGAAATGTGATAAGGAGAAATGGGGCTGGTGGTGTTGGGCAGTGCCAGGTTGCTGCTGGCTGACAGCCAAAGGTTCCTGGGCCCCAGCCAGACCAAGGGTTTGTCTATGCTCAGCTCCCCCACGATCGTTAGAACCTTTTAGCTGTGAACCTGGGTGAGCCCCACCAGGTCTTACTACAGGCTGCTGTCTTCCCTGCAGACCCCCACGCCCTCCTCACCCCCCACCTTCCCACCCCCTCCTGGGGTTCACAAAGGCTTTTATCTCTACTGCTGTCTGTGATGCCTGAGATGCTGACTTACACATGCAGAAAACCTGTTCTCATTTCCTGAAGGCTTCCTTCCTCAGCATCCCACACACTTACACCCCAGGGTTGTGCAATAGATCACGTACTAGTGCAACTGTCCACTCCGCACCTGCAAGGCCTGTGACCACAGAAGGGGGATGGAAGGTAAGACTGAAAAGGAACAGACACTGTCCTGTGGCCTCAAGTGTGTTTCTCAGACAGCCAAGGTCTGACTTCCTCAAGACCTCATTCTCCGCCTCCTTTCCCCTCCCCCCATCCCTGAAGGGAGGGGGAAGCTTGCAGATGCTGAGGCCTTGCAGACACGTGTACACCCAGTGGCTACCCCTGCCCTTTGCCTGAGGAGTCAGAAAGACACCAGATTCAGGACAGCGTAGGAACTCCTACGAGTGTTTCTGAGCTTCTTGGCTTTGCCTTCAAGTTCAGGAACACCTTGACTCACTTCCCGAGGTACTTCCAAGGCTGCTCACTACTTTATAGCCAGAACTCGTCTGATTGCCATCAGGGATGGGAGCTGAAGCTCGGAGGAAGGGACTGGACGCTGCAGGCAGCCAGCAGCCACTCAGGGCCCGAGGCCCAGCTCAGCTGCACCACATCAGCTTGTCCAGAATTCATGGACTCACCAGCATCCGGGGCCTCAACAGCACTGCTGTATATAGCTGGGCACAGGCTCTGAACTGGCTCTGAAAGTGGGGTCACTAAAAGCAACACTGTGGGTTTGCAGGTGTCAGGGGACCTCAGCCTCAGGAAGCAAGGCAAGAAAGCATGGATCTGTGAGCGGGTCCAGCCAGGTCAGATGCTGCTGGAAGAAACGGAGTTGAGTTGAGGCTCATGGGATGGGGCGAGCCAGGGTGGGGTGGCTGCCGCAGAGGGGCCTCTTTCACGCAACACTGCTTCTTCCTACGATGTCACTTTTACCAGTCCTTCCAGACCCTTGTTGAGCTCATCTTCAGTTGCTCCCCACCTGAGCAGGATGTCCATCACTCACGGACACCGGCTGTGCTCCCCTTTGCCCAGGCTGATACCTTGCTGCCCCTCACTGCAGCACCCTCCTCTGTCCTCAGCCCTCCTACCTTTCTGTTTCAGCAGAATCATTCAGTCCTTCCTATCGCACAGTCTGCCAAAATCATCTTTCTGAAACTTGCAGTGTAAAGGGACCCTGGACTACAAACTTTTTGTCCCCTGACTGAAAGCATTGAAAGGAGACAATTGATATCACGTTCCCGTGACCCAGCTCTTGGCCAAGGTGGGAGACCAGTCTGGGCTATGTGTAGTGAGACCAGTCATACAACCACACACTGCAAGAGCATTCATGAGTTTCTGTGGCTCTGGGAGTCTCCTGCCTTCTCCCATTCTCTCCTTTCCTTACCCAGAGGACCCCTGGCCACAGAAGACACATTTGTGGATACATGTGATGTCGGATTCCCTCTGTATGCTGTGAATATGTTTTATTACCATGGGTTAATAAAGAAGTTGCTTCAGCTTATAGCAGGGCAGAATACAGCCACGCTGGAAGAGACATAGAGAGAAAGTACGCAGAGTCAGGGAGATGCCATGTAGCTACCGAAGGAGACAGATGCTAGATCCTTACCAGTAAGCCACAACCATGTCCCGATACATAGATTAATAGAAATGGGTTAAATTAAGATGTAAGAGTTAGCTAGGAATATGCCTGAATCATTGGCCAAGCAGTGTTGTAATTGCTTTAGTTTCTGTGTGATTATTTTGGGTCTGGGCAGCCGGGATACGAACGTGCAGCCTCCTACTACATAAGAGAAACCTCAGACCAAATCTGGCATATGCTGTGTTTTCTTCTTTGTGCTCTGGGGACAAGGTTCAGATGAACAATAGTAATAAAGAAATCCAACAGTAATGACAAACATAGACCGTCAGAATCAAGGGTACTTACCTAGCATGCATTGAGCATTGGGTCTCTTTCTGGTACCTTAAGTAGAAGCCAGTAAGCAGACATTGGAGTTATTTCTGGAAATTTCCATTTAGTTTTTTTTGCAACCATGTTTATAAGAAATGGATATCCTTGGAAGTGAAGACCAAAATGGAACCCCCATATTTTTATCAATTATTATTAAAAAGTTTTTTTATAATACAATTAACATAATCTCCTCTTCCCTCCAAACACTCCCATAGACCCCTCTTTGCCCTCTTTCAAATTTAAGACTTTTTCACTATTACATACATATGTATATATGTATATACACATTATATTCCTAAACGCATACATACAACCTGTCCAGTCTGTATAGTGTTACTTGTGTGTAAGTTTGCAGGGCTGACTGTCTGGTACTGGATAACCAATGGGTGTGCTCCCCCCTGGGGAGGACTGCGTCTCCTACTCCCGGCATTCCTTAGCTGTCTGTAGTTCTTCATATAGGGGTGAGGTCTCACAGGTTCCCCCATCCATCTACTGGTTTTTGTCCTTTTCTGCTCATTTTGGGTGGTCGTGTTGGTGGGACTTTATGTGTATCTTGGTTATTACTAGGAAACATGGGCCCACAGCAAGCTTCCTGCCCCTCTTCCACCAATGTTTCCTCAGCCTTAGGTGCAGGAGCGTTCTCTAGATCGTATCCCCTGGGACTGGGCTTCACAACTCTGTGTTTCTATTGGTTGTGGTTTTCTGTATTGGTCTCTGTCTGTTGCCAAGAGACGTTCCTTGCTGAGGAGTGAAGACTGCACCTTTCTGTGGGTGTGAGGCGAACATTTAGTGTGGACTTAGGAATTACGCTATCTGAGTGAAGTGGAGGTGTGGGTTCTCCTCCAGCACCCACGATGTCCCTCGCTCTGGGTACTCCCTCCATATCTGAAGCTCCCTTTCTGTTGTCCTGGTGAAGATGCCCACGGTTTCCATTTCTGATACTGAGCACCATTCCTTGTGGGTTGGTGACCTGAGAGGAAGATCAGCCCACGCTAACTCCATGGACACCTCTGGTCTTGGTTTTCTGTTCCCTTATGGGCTGCAGAAGAGTATGTTTTCAAGAGTGACGAAATTCTCACGCTCTTTATGCTTCATGACTATCAACAGTGATGAAATCCTCACGCTCTTTACTTCAGGAACATCAACACATTGCTTGAGAACATTATTATGTTCCTGTTCCTTTTTGTTTTAAACGAGGTCTCACTCGGTAACTTAGGTTGGCCTCTAAGCCATGGGGATCCTCCTGCCTCAGCCCAGGTTCAGGAATCCCAGCTATGAACCCTCGTAGTTGACTGTTACCTGTATTTGTTATATCCACTCTGGAGTGGATTTCCCACTACATCACATGTAATTCCCTCTCCCTCCACTCCCAGTAACTGTTGGCAGTATCGCCAAAGGTGCTGGGGCACTGAACTCTAGCTGCCCTTGGCACCAGCTGCCACCTCAGGGTTAGGGTTTCACAGGGAATTTCCTAACACTTCCCTACTCTCGGTGAGAGAAAATGGCCATTTTCCACGAGGAGTGTTCCTAGTGGCCAGCTGTTTGACCCTATAAATGGATGGCTGTTAGCTGTATCTTGCCCTGTCACCCTGGCTCATCGGGAACTCGCTGAGTCCCCAGATTTGCTGCTGTCCCTCTACCTTTGCCTCTTGAGTGCTGAGATCCCAGATGTGAGCCCCCATGCCCGCATCTTTGAAAACATGTCTTCTCTGGCTTCTTCCCGGCAGTCTCTTCAGATGGAGGTGCAGAGTCTTCGGCCTTAGTGGATGACAATGGCAGCGAGGAGGACTTCAGCTATGAAGAGCTCTGCCAGGCCAACCCTCGGTACCTGCAGCCAGGCGGGGAGCAGCTGGCCATCAATGAGGTACTGGGATCCCACACATATCAGATACTTGATTCTCAAGGCTGTGGCCCTCTGATTAGTTCTTAGCATGTCCTGAAGTCTGGGGCTCTGGCTAGCTGGTTTCCGACACTGAGTTTCTTTCATGTCCAGGGACGCATCTATAACTGAGCTTTGTTCGTTACTGACAGCCCTCCCATATGCACTAAGGTAAAGGGCCGCCGGTCTTCAGGGCTGGCTTCTCAGCTTTTTTTTTTTTTTTTTTTTAAGATTTATTTATTTATTATATATACAGTGTTCAGCCTCCATGCCTGCAGGCCAGAAGAGGGCACCAAATCTCATTACAGATGGTTGTGAGCCACCATGTGGTTGCTGGGACTTGAACTCAGGACCAGTGTTCTTAACCTCTGAGCCATCTCTCCAACCCGCTTCTCAGCTTTTTCAATGAGCCCATTGTCTCAGAAATCCTCACAGCTGATCTCTGAGGTAAATGGAAAACACTTGTCTGTATTTTAACAGACACCCTGAGGTAAGGACATGGAATTACACTGGGCCTGGTGGTGTGTGTGTGACACCAACAACTCTGAAAGCTGAGGCAGGAGGCTCGAGTTCGAGGCCTCCAGAGGCTGCTTACGGAGACCCTGTCTTACATAAGGGCAGGGTAGTTCAGTCAAAGAGTGCACAGGTCTCCGGGTTCTATCTCCAGCAGTTAAGAGGAAAAGGTGAAGTGATTTTCCTACTACAAATGGCAGAACTACGATCCGTGTGTCCCTTATTCCTGGTCAGGTGGTGTTGTCTTCCTATTGCATTGCATTAACTCCCCTCCCCTCCCCCTCCCCCTCCCCCCCAGCTCCCTTTTCGGTGGCTCAGGTGATACTCTGCACTTCATTATGTGATTACTTCCTATTATATGGGCTTGTAGGAGTATTCCAGGCCTCACTGCAAAAGGCTAAGTAAGCACTGACATACGGCGGCTAGATGTAGTAAACACATGTTTTATTTGATTTAGATGACTTAACCACGGTGGAACTCCACTGTCAGTCAAGGGGTTTCGTACACCTTTGCTTTTTGAGACAGCCTTGCTGTATGACCCAGACTAGCCTTGGACTGGTGATCCTCCTGTCTCAGACTCCTATGTGCTGGGATTACAGATAGATGTCACCACCCTTAGCATGTATCAACCTTTTTAAGGTTGATCTGAGTTTCCCTTTAAGAGCAGGTCACAGGCGCCTACCTGATGCCGTGTTCCTCACCTTATTTCATATGACTAGTTTACCTGGACAGCACAAGTCCTTCCAGACAGAGTAGAAGGCGGCGCGCCACCCTGAGAAAGCATACCTAGCACGCGGCTCTTAGTCTGCCCGTGTTGCCGAATGCTAAGCTTGCTCTCCCATCTCTGTTCCAGCTCATCAGCGATGGCAGCGTGGTCTGTGCAGAAGCACTGTGGGACCATGTGACCATGGATGATCAGGAACTGGGCTTCAAGGCTGGGGATGTCATCCAGGTCCTGGAAGCCTCTAACAAGGACTGGTGGTGGGGCCGGAATGAAGATAAAGAGGCCTGGTTCCCTGCGAGCTTTGTGAGGGTGAGTGTGGCCCTCTGTTTTCCAGGGGTGTTCTTGGGAAGGGACCTGTAGAAGAGATTGAGGTAGATCTCAGTCTTTCCTCGGGCCCAGCTCTTCTGTCAGTGTGTTTAACATCACACATAAGCCGGACCTGTAGGAAGTAAGGCAATTATAGTGAGGATCTTAATGAAAGCAAACAAGCCATTTGGCATTGGTGCCACCCATGGATATTTATTGAAGGCACCGTGCCTTGATAACTCGGCACAGAGAGCAGACGCCTGGGAGGTCTTTGCCTTGCTTCTGCTACTGCCCCCGCTTCCCTAAGCCACCTGCCTCCTGTGTGTGACCTGTAGCTTCGAGTCAACCAGGAGGAGCTGCCCGAGAGCTGCAGCAGCTCCCATGGGGAAGAGCAGGATGAGGAGAGCAGCAAGGCCCGCCACAAGCACCCTGAGAGCCAGCAGCAGATGCGCACCAACGTCATCCAGGAGATCATGAACACCGAGCGCGTGTACATCAAGCACCTCAAGGACATCTGCGAGGTACGTGCCAGTCAGAGGCGGCCACCTCCTCCAACCCCATGCGTCTCCTTAGATCCCTAGACAGGATGCCCAGTCATTTCCCTGCAGATGAAAATGTGGTCCTATTTGGTGATGTTGCCCTGGTGTTTTCAGTGATAATTGGTAGACACCGTAGCAGGGAGCCAGAGAGACAGTGTGACTGTGTAGCAATTCCTGGGATTATGGACACTGGCCACCATGTCTAGCTGTTATTCAGTAGTCTCGTCCTGGTTCCAGAGAACAGGCCATTAATAGATGTGAGGCTGGCAGTTTCCTCCAAGCTGGCTTTCAGTTCCCGGATCAGGTGAGCGATGTCGCTCTGAATGCTGATGTCAGCGCTGCCCCTCCAGCTGTGATCGCTCAGTGCTAGAGCCAAGCTTAAGTCAGGACAAGTTCAATCGTGGATGAATCGGCTGCATAGCCTGCCACTGCTCACCTCTCATCTGTACAAGTGTGGTGACTGAAGTGGCTTCAGGCTGCTGTTTCAGGAGAGTCACAGCTTCCGGCTAAGCAGGGCCAAGCCCCGACCGTGGACGGGCCTAATGCCCGGCCCAGCTCAGCTCCTCACAGTGTTTTCACTGGGCACATACCCTCTTAGTTGCCTATCACAGATGAGAAAGAGACCTTGAAGTTCAGAGGCAGGGTTGTCAGGCACTGTGACCCTGAGCTCACACTCTGCATCACCACAGAAAATAGAGGAATTGAGGGGCTGGGGTGCAGTACTTATGCACATGCCCAAGCCCCTGAGTTCGGATCCTCAGCATCCACATAAAAGCTGTCTGCGGCAGCATGTGTCTCTGATCCCAGAGGCGAAGATCGACAGGTCCCAGGGCCTCTCTGGCCAAGCAATCCTGTCAAAACTGTGAGCCCCAGTTTAGTGAGAGGTCTTGTCTAAAAACAAAAACAAAACAAACAAACAAACAAAAAAACAAAGATGGAGGGTGATTGAGGTCACATGTAACTAAATGAGCAAGCCTACCAACACACTCATGTACAACACATGCATGTACAGACTTCGCCACATACGTGAAGAAGGAAGTGGTTTATATACTAAATGGTCTGTTTATTCTGTTTAAGCGTGTTGTGTTACTTTGGAGGTAATTGTTCCGTGCATGTGTAGACTTTCCGTCCTGTGTCACTAACTTTCCCAAGCCAGAGCACAGCCCTGACAACATGCATAGAGAAGGAGTAGTTAGCCCTCTTACAAGGACACAGACTGAGGAAGGACAGACTTGTGCTATGGAATGAAAGCAGGTGAGGACGGAGTCTTCGGTGTGGATATTCTTGAGTCTTGGCTGTGGTTTGATAGATCAAAACCACATTGGCTTGACAGAAAGCCTTCACACACTGACCTCCCCCATGTCCCTGGCCTGGAGAATTAGAATCTAGTAAAGGAGGCAACGTGAAGCCAGACATGGGCACACCAATCTGTAATCCCAGCAGTGGGTAGGTGGAGACAGGTGGATCACGGCCCTTCGGTCAGCCAGCCTAGTCTACTTGGAGAGTTCCAGGCCAGTAAGGACTTGGTCTCAAACAAAAAGGACAGTGCCTGAGGAAGGACACCCATGGTTGTCCTCTGACCCTCATATGAACGCACGCGCTCCCCCACAAAAACCTGAATGCACATACAGACAGCACACACTGTGGCAATGTGAATTTTTAGGCTCTGCCATTTGAACCTCACTTCTGGAAACTTGAAATCCATGTGAAGCTTTTCACTTTGGTTTTGGTTTTAGAATATCTCCGGTGAATTGTAGTTGTAGATGTGTGATTGTCTCATCAGGGCCTCACAGAGATAAAAATCATTTTCTCTAATTGAAATTCACTCCAGCTTAGGAATAGTGCCACATACCTGTCGTCCCAGCACACAGGAGTGTATGTCAGGAGGAATGGAAGTTTGGGACCAGCCTAAGCTACCTGTGAGACCCTGTCCTGAAAATAGAATAAAATTCAGCCCAAGACCTTGGCATGGGGCCAAAGCACAAATAGAAACAACAAACTGTATTGTTCAAGTATCTCCAAACAAATAAAACCGTTTGCTTTTGTTCTCTGCAGGGCTATATCCGACAGTGTCGTAAGCACACGGGGATGTTCACGGTTGCGCAGCTAGCCACTATTTTTGGAAACATCGAAGACATTTACAAATTCCAAAGAAAGTTTCTGAAAGACCTTGAGAAACAGTACAACAAAGAGGAACCTCACTTAAGCGAGATAGGATCCTGCTTTCTTCAGCACGTATGTCACTGTCCCTCCTGTCACCCCATCCGGTCAGACAATAGCATAGAAAGGCACCTCCGCCAGAAACACTCCAGACCTTTCTTCCCTTGGCTCACGTACTGCCTTTAGGTAGATGGGATTTTCCTTTTCCAGAGGGTGAGTGATCTAAGGTCACATGCTCACAGGCAGATGGTACACAGCCTCGGAGTTTCTCTGGTGGTGACATGAGTTATTGGTCCTTGCTATTTAGGTTGACTATAACTGACAAAAGATTTTAGAGATTTTATTTCTCTACTTAGAGAATAGTTTAGGTAGTACTACCAGTGGCAGCAATGTACCCTCATTTCCTGGGTGCTGAACCCCATAGTTTTTTAGAGGCAGGGTGCTATAACTGAAGCGGTGGCTAAGCCTTCATTGGAACTTCATGGTGGTTCCAAAAGAAAGCAGGCAGGAATGGGTCCCTGGGTATCCAGGTATCCTCGAGGCACTGAAGACCAGTGTGGCCAGAGCAGCCTAGGCCTGTGGGTGAGAAGCTCAGGAGAGGCTTTGGGGGTGAGCAAAGGCAGGGCAAGAACACGCAGCTGAGTGGTCTCAACAGCAAGGAGAGTCTTAACTGCTCCCACTGCCGTAGTCAGCCCTGTCAGGTGCTGGCCCAGAAGCCAAGAAAAGGAGCCTTGCTAAAAAGGGGTGTTTTCCAGGGAAGTCTGGCAGGGCTGGTTGTGCCAACAAAGAGTAGTGGTCTCCAGCACCTGCGTCGTCGAGTTAGCAGGCGGGGTGGCGAAATCACAAGGGGGGGGGGGGCTCGGCCAAGTCTGCATGGTCAAGCAGGGGAAGCAGGAAGGAAGGGCAACCGTGGGTGCATGGCCCAGCAGCGACACTGGAGGGAAGGTGGTGGCCAGGGATGTGGGCTTGAACTCAGTGACAGGGCTTTCAAAGCAGTGTCCACCCAGTCTTGAGGAACAGGGGGCAGAGGAAAGAGTGCAGCCCCAAGCCCGGGAGAGCAGGCAGCAAGAGAAGAGCAGCAGTATCGCTGCACCTCAGAATGAGAAGTCTGCAAGAAGGGAAGTGGGCAGTGGCCTATCCGTTGGAGAAGGAGTACCACGTGGAAGCCAGGCCCAAGGGTTAGGCAGTGTGCCAGCATCATGTGGTACCTCCAAGCCAGAGTTTATCAGTGGAAGGAAGGGACCAGGATGGAGAGCCAGACCTCAGAGCATTGCTCCCCCTCTGCCGTAGGCTTGGACTGGAGTGAGCCCAGGGGGTAGGGTCTCCGATCCTTCTACCCACCATTAAAAAGAACACAGTTATCAACCACCCACAAGTGAGCTTCCTACTGACCAGGCATGAAAGCCACTGCCAAGCGTGCATTGCCCTTGGGGTGTTGGCCTGTCCTCCCTCTTCTCCAGGAGTGTCCTCACAGATGGCTCAGGGCCACTGACTGACAAGGCTGCCTTCCCTTCCAGCAAGAGGGCTTTGCCATCTACTCCGAGTACTGCAACAACCACCCGGGTGCCTGCGTGGAGCTGTCCAACCTCATGAAGCAGAGCAAGTACCGGCACTTCTTCGAGGCCTGCCGCCTGCTTCAGCAGATGATCGACATCGCCTTGGATGGCTTCCTCCTCACGCCCGTGCAGAAGATCTGCAAATACCCGCTGCAGCTGGCCGAGCTGCTCAAGTACACCACACAGGAGCACAGGTGAGATGCGGGCCGCCCAGGGGCCGTGAGACTGAGCCCCAGCCAGCCTGGTGCTTCTGGCAGAGACAGGTGCTGGTGGTGCTGGTGCTGATGGTACTAGTGGTCCTGGTGCTGGTGCTGGGGGTCCTGGTGCTGGGGGTCCTGGTAGCCTTGCGGTTCTGCCACTGAGCTTCATGGATGAAGTTCTCAGAAGTTTACAGTGTTTATCACTATAACAAGATATAGGAAGATACTCTGTGACATCCAGAAATAGAAAAGCAAAATAATTCTTTTGTTTCTTTGTTTTGGTTTTTTTGAGACAGGGTTTCTCTGTGTAACTTGAGCCTATCCTGGAACTCACTCTGTAGACTAGGCTGGCCTCGAACTCACAGAATCTGCTTGCCTCTGCCTGTCTCCCAAGTTCTATCTCCCAAGACCACCACCATTGCCCATTATGCAAAAGAATTCTTAGGCTGGTTCTGTGAGTGCACGGAGGGTTGGCTTTGTTGTTGTTACTGTTTAATTTAATTTTGGATTTTTTGAGATGGATCTTGAAATACAGCCGAAGTTCATCACGATCCCACCTGTTTCCTACTAGGGTTACAGGCAAGCACATCACACTTGGCTGCACAGGAATTTTCACTTAGGTGTTATTTGGTACAGTTTACAAATATTATGTTAATATCCTTTGTAGTTATTTATTGGCAAATCAGTTTTTAGTTTTGAAAGAAATCGATAGTACTACAGCAGTCCCCTTTATTCTTGGGGGATCTGTTTTTCTAGATCCCAGAGGATACCTAAAACTATGGACAGAACTGCATCCCTACATGTGTATGTATGTGTATATGTGTATATACACACAGTCTTTTTCTGATGCATACACACCTATAAAAAGATAAAAACTGGGGGCTGGAGAGATGGCTCAGTGGTTAAGAGCATTGCTTGCTCTTCTAAAGGTCCTGAGTTCAATTCCCAGCAACCACATGGTGGCTCACAACCATCTGTAATGAGGTCTAGTGCCCTCTTCTGGCCTGCAGATATACATACAGACAGAATATTGTATACATAATAAATAAATAAATATTTAAAAAAAAGATAAAAACTGCTCATAGCGGCTCACACCTATAATCTCATCACTTTGGGAAACTGGCAAGAGGATTGCTGTTGGTTCAAGGCCATCCTGGGCTACTGTAGAGAGTTTTTAGAATAGCCTGAACTACAGATACAATTCTGTCTGAAAAGGAAGATATATTTACAAGTAAGATACTGTAAGAGATTAACAGTAACTACCAAGCAAAGCCTTCTGGAGAGATGGCGTGGGAGCACAACGCTTTCCAAGGTGGGCAGCTGTAACCACGCACACTCTGCAAGACGGACTTCATGCTTTAGAATAATTACAACAGTATATTATTATTATTATTACAAATGATAAATAATTTCAACTTAGGAATTATTCCTGGAGTCTTCGGTTTAACGTTTCTAGACTGCAGTTGGTAATGGGTAACTGCAGTTCAGCAAAATGAACCTGGATAGAGGAATGAAGGAGGGTGAATCTGGGTAAGGGTGAGAGTGAGCCCTGAGGAGTTGGAAAGTGACTCACTTCTGTCCTGCGCCTCTGGCAGAGACAGGCGGAAGATCAAAGTGCCAGGGGCTACTGAACAGACCCTAGTTAGGGTGAAGGCTTAAAGAATTAGACCCCCAAGGGAATAAGGAGGAAGAGGCTTGTCGAAATGAATAAAAGAGAAAGACAACTGTGTAGGATCTTTCTGTCTCGGATGTGGCTATCGGAAGAGCTTAGTGGAGAAAAGTAAGGAAGTCAGGAGAACCTCAATTGGTAGAGGCTAAAAACTAACTACTGAAGGGCATCATAGTAGTGACTTGTAGATGGAGACTGCATGCTCGTTTCCCGGCTGCCCAGAACCAAACAATCACACAGAAACTATATTAATTACAGTACAGTTTGGCCAATAGCTTAGGCATTTTCCTAGCTAGCATCTTAAATTAACCCATTTCTATTCATCTGTGTATCACCATGAGGCTGTGGCCTAGCTGGTAAGGTTCCGGCATGTCCTTCTCCTTTGGCAACTACATGGCATCTCCCTGACTCTGCCTACTCTCTCTCTATATCTGTGTTGGGATTTCCTGCCTGACTTTACTCGGCTAAGCCATTGGCCAAAGCAGCTTTATTCATTAATCAATAAAAGCAACACATATACAGAAGGACCTCCCACATCAGTGATTTGGGGAAAATAATGAGAGATCTGCGAAGCGAAGCAAAGCCTTCTGGAGAGATGGCGTGGGAGCACAACGCTTTCCAAGGTGGGCAGCTGTGACCACGCACACTCTGCAAGACGGACTTCATACTTTAGAATGTTCTGAGTATTTTACCATGGGGGTGCAACCTGCATGGCACAGCACACATGTGGGGGTCAGAGGGCAACTTTGTGGTGTCAGTTCTCCCCTTCCCTCTTTACCTGGGTTCCAGGGCTTGCATAGCAGACACCTCCACTCTCTGAATCACTGCTCAGCTGCCTGACTTTTCTCTTTTAAGAACATTTTTTTTCCTGTGAGCATTTGCAGATTTTGATTATTTTTCAAATTTATTCCACCTATTTATTTATTTATTTATTTTTGAGGCAAGGTGATCCTGGCTGGCTTTGAACTTGAAGAAATCCTGTATCTAGAAATACTGCCTATATCCCCCAAGTAGTGCTAATATTATAGGCATTCGCTGTCACACTTGTTCCAGTTTGTGTGTGTGTGTGTGTGTGCTCCAGAGCCAAGGGGACCAGGACTCATATGTAGCCGATGCTAACCTCAAACTAACTCTTGATCCTCCTGCCCTGGCTGCTCGTGTGCTGAATGACAGGTGCGCACCGCCAGAACCAACTTTGAGAAATATTCAAAAGAGAATGACATTGAGACTCTTACTTTTTTTGTTAAAGTTAAATGGGAGGATGGAGTATTCTAGAGAAAAAGAAGCAACAATAAAGCCTCCTAGTTTCTGCTGCTTTGGGGGGCCTTTTAGAAAATACATCATCCCTTTTCCTTGGGGCTCCCAAGTCTTAGGCAGTTCTACCTCATGCTCATTTTGCCTCTTGCTCTGCCTTGAGAATAGACCCCCGGAGTCAGGACCTGCCTTGTGGACAGTCCTGCAGACTTCCTGGCAGTCAGTGCTCCTGTGTGTGTCCACAGCTTCTTAACAGTTTTAGAGGCGTGGCCTGGGGGGCTGCCGGAAGACCATCATACTGTATGGCTTACGGTCTTTCATGTCCCTTCCTCAACAAGTAAAAGATGAGACTTGATGCGGATAATTAGTCTCAGAACGCAACCAGTGGTTTTCGCACAGCTTTATATAGCAGAAGTGGTTATGTTAAATCAAGGCAGAAATGAAGGCAGTTCTCTGTGCTAATGGAAATAATTCAAAGCTGCTATGACTAACACTAGATTTCTGTGACATTTACTCTCATTCATGGTGATTTCTGGGAAATGAATGACAATATTCTTACTCCAGAAGAATTGTGAATTGTGTTCTCTCCGCTCACTTAACCTGTGCAGACTATGGCCTATTCATCGGGAATAATGGCTCTTACTCAGTGCCTTGTCTAGACTGTTAGCATACAGACCAGGGTCCGAGCACACTGTCAGTCCTCCTTTGTGAGTTGCATGTCCTTACAGTTGAAATGAACTCCCCATTTTGCAGCGATTACAACAATATCAAGGCAGCCTACGAGGCCATGAAGAACGTGGCCTGCTTGATCAACGAACGCAAGCGCAAGCTGGAGAGCATTGACAAGATTGCCCGCTGGCAGGTGTCCATCGTAGGCTGGGAGGTGAGTGGCGCTCGCATAGGCGGAGTGGCTCACCGCCCCTGTGCCTTGGACCCAGGGGCAGCATCCTTTAGCATTCCGTGTTCTGGCTTTCATGGTCTGTGTAGTCAGAGGGATTTTGATAAATCTAAAAGTCAATTGCCTTATTTATATACAGTGCCTACAAAGAAATAGGGTCTGAGTAGGTGAGATGGCTCAGAGGGTTAAGGTACCAACCAGAAATAGCATGAGTTTAATCCCCAGCGTCTACATGGTAAAAGGAGAGAAATGAACCCTACAGGTTGTCCTCCACCCGCCACACAGGAACAGTGACACACTCCGCCCATACACAGAAACTTAAGCAGACACAAGATAAATAAATAAAGGCAGTTAATTAGGTTTTTGCTTTTTGGGCTTTCTTCTTGTTGTTTGGCTGGTTGGTTTTGTTTTTTCAAGGTAGGGTTTCCTCTATGTAGCTCTGGCTGTTCTGGAACTCACTCTGTGAACAAGACTGGCCTCGACCCTGTCTCTGCTTTCTGGGTGCTGGGATTAAAGGTGTGAGCCACCACTGCCTGTCTTTAAAAATAATTTTTTTAAAAGTCATTACTCATTGCTTAGAGTCTGGTCCCCCCGACATGGAGAGCCAGTTTGATCCTAAACCAAGGCCCCGTTTCTACACAGTCATAGAACACGGTAGTAGGAACATGGGGTCTTGAGCCATAATGACATATTTGAGTCCTGTATGATCCAAGCAGATATTCTCTTACCGTCTTTAAGGAGAAAAATACTACTTTTTAGGTTACATGATCATTAAGTAATAGTACAAATAACCCTACTTGATAGGGCCCCGTAGTAATGGCCTGATGAATGTATACCCTTATTTATTGCATGAGTACACAGGGAAAGGTGTAAGCACCTCATGCAAGGCCACGTAGCTAGAGTGTTGGCAGAGCTGGGTTCCAGCCCAGTATTCTGGCAGACTGCATGTCTGTGTGGGTCACCTGTGCTGAAGCACAGCAGCTAAGAAAACTGGTGCTGTTGAGATTGCTGTGGAACCAGGTTAGGTTCTCTTTACCTGGCTTTCAGGGACTGAGCAGGTACAGGGTGAGAGGGCAGGGTCAGCTGAAGAGAAGCGCTCTTCCTCCAGAGCCCTGACAAACCTCTGTCCTCACTGCTGATCCCCTGTTTTTTAAGTGAAGAATCTGGGGCACAGAATTGCTCTAGGAAAGGAAATAGAAGCAATATTTTGGAGTCAAGTACTTTTGCCTCCAAAATATGCTGAGTATTATTGAGATTAGAGGGAAATGAAAATTTTTAAATGAAGGCCAGCTTCATACCAAATTTGTTAGGGTGATGCTGGCATCCATCCACTCTAGATATTATAAAGGGGAGTTTATTTTTTCTTCCAGCCTTTAGATTCTAACATTTAGAATGTTATGACCTAACAGTAGAAATAATCAAACATTAGATCATTTCATCAGAATTTACTAATTTCTTACTGGCAGCCTGGCCTTTTATTTCCAGGACCCTAAGCTGCTCCAGGGAGTGGGTATACACCTGACTCGGGAGGTAATTCCATTATACCATATCCCTGTACAATGCAACCTCTGCTTCTCCCTTATTCTGAAATCAGGCTTTATTAGCTCCTGCTGCAGATGCTGTCTGGATTCCATTACTGTAGTGTGTGGTTTTTTTTAGATCAGGAAGACACTTCAAGTAACACAGAGGAAATAAAGAGCAGCAAAGAAGTATTTCAGGACAAGGGATCCAGGAAGTCAGGGTCTGAATGGCCTCTGAGGCCCTGCCCGTGTGTAGGGCAGCAATGCCTGGCCATAGGGAGCTGGAATATTCTAGAAAGACTGTACCAGAGACCCCTTCTTTGTGTCTACTACTAGACACAATTTGGTTCAGACAACTCACAGCGTAATTGCATTCTCTCAGGGCCTGGACATCCTAGACCGAAGCTCCGAGTTGATTCATTCGGGGGAACTGACCAAAATCACCAGGCAGGGCAAGACCCAGCAGCGGATCTTCTTCCTCTTCGACCACCAGCTGGTGTCCTGCAAGAAGGACCTGCTGCGCAGGGACATGCTGTACTACAAGGGCCGCATGAACATGGACGAGGTGGAGCTTGTGGACGTGGAGGACGGGCGGGACAAGGACTGGAACCTCAGCATGCGGAATGCCTTCAAGTTGGTCAGCAGAACCACAGATGAGGTGCACCTGTTTTGCGCCAGAAAGCAGGAAGACAAGGCCAGGTGGCTGCAGGCCTATGCAGACGAGAGGCAGAGGGTACAGGAAGACCAGCAAATGGGTGAGTCCCCTCAGCCTCCTCCATCCACCGCTGGCCTCTTCTGCTCAGTCACTCCCTGAAGAGCCAAATCCGTGGACGGGGCTGCAGGCACATGCTTCGGGGAGCAGTGGTCGAGATAGCCCCTCACCCCATAGGAATTGCTTGTTCCCTTTATTCCCGTTTTACAGACAGCCTGGCTTGGTGTGGTGCCAGGGACTGACCATATGATGGTGGCACACACACGCCCCTCACCCAACCAGTAGACACATTAGATAATTCTTGCTTTTCTGTACTCACTTATTCATGTTGCATGTATGTATGTGGTATATTTGTTCCTGGCGGGGTGATGCATATGGAGGTCAGAAGAGGACATCTAGGGACCTGCTGTGTCCTTCTCTGCCTTTTTCACTCGCGATGGGTCTTACCAAACCTAGAGCTAGGCTGGCTGCCATCAAGACCCGGCAATCTTCCTGTCTCAGTCCCCCCACAGCATTGGTTACAGTTGCACACGAGTACACCAGCTTTTTACATGAGCACTGGGGATTTGAACGCAGGACTTCAAACTTGTACAGCACGCACTCTTTATCCACCCCCAAGCAGTCATCTTCCTAGCCCAGAAATGCCAGAAAATGGACTTCCCCTTGATCAGCACTGCTGCAAAGCACTCTAAATTCGCCTCACTGCCTGGATCGGTTCAGACACAGTTCCTCCTAGGCCTCCCCTTATCTCTGGCATCCATAGAACCTGCACATGAGTAAGCTCCTGCTTCTGATAGTCAGTGGTATCCTTGTGCAGACTGAGCATCTGCGGTCCCCAAACCAGAATCCTCTGAGTGTCAGTGTGGAAAATTCCACTCTTCAGCATCATGTGAGGGACCTACTTAAAATACAGATGCCCCAAAAGTACAGTTTGGAGATAATTCCAGGCTGTGTAGAAGGGGTCTACGAAACATAACCAAATCCCGTGCTTAGACGTTGGTCTCATCACTAAGATATATATTGTGTATGTGAAAATATTAGAAAATCTAAAGTGTTGCATGTTCCAGTCCCACACAATTCAGACAAGGGGAACTTAATCTGTACTTTGGTGTGTCGTCCCAACTTCTGCTGACCTTTTGATTGCATGATCTCATGAGAAGGAAGCTGCCGTGTGGCGTTAACCAGCGTAGCATTCACAGTTTCTATGTCTGAGCTCCAGAGCCGCTCACACAGACTGGGATTGTGAGCACACACTGTCAGATGTGAGCTGTGGTGCCCAGATCAGGGGTGTACAGGGATAAGACGAGTGAGAAATGGCTGTGGTGCCCAGATCTCAAGGATTGTGTATCTGGGCCAGTACTGCCCTGCTGCCCCTGAGCCCAAAGGGCTTTAAGGGTGATCCCCATGTCTCCTGTATAAGCCAGCACCTTCAGACTTGGCCATAGAGTCTGCTGTTGGAACTAGAAAGTGTCCTAGGATCCTATGTTGAGAGCTCTTAGAAATCCATCAGGCTATCTTGCCAGTAAAAGTAAGAATTTCCTCGGAGACCTTTGGAGCTCAGACCAGTGTGAGGTCCGGTAGCTCCCAGCCTCACAGATTGAATTGTCTACTCTGTGTGACTGTCCTTTAGACCCAAGGGAACTGGAACCCACAGTAGCTGCCGTGCATTGACTACTGACCGTCAGACTCTGTCGCAATAAGGCTTGTCATGAAATCCTTCTCAGAAGTGTGCAGGTAGTTACCAAAATGTGAGGTGCGATTACTCAGTCGGTCACCCTGTCTGCCGCAGCTCGAGAAGCGGCGAGCTGGAATGATTGCTCTCCCCGCAGCTTGCGCTGTCGTCCACACTGTCTGGTGTGACTAGAAGCACCCAGGTCGGAATGCTTGCACTCCCCCAACTTAGTCATTCACACTGTCTGGTGTGACTAGAAGCACCCAGGTCGGAATGCTTGCTCTCCCACAGCTTGCACTGTCATCCACACTGTCTGCTGTGACTAGAAGCACCCAGGTCGGAATGCTTGCACTCCCCCAACTTAGTCGTTCACACTGTCTGGTGTGACTAGAAGCACCCAGGTCGGAATGCTTGCACTCCCCCAACTTAGTCGTTCACACTGTCTGGTGTGATTAGAAGCACCCTGGTCGGAATGCTTGCACTCCCCCAACTTAGTCATTCACACTGTCTGGTGTGACTAGAAGCACCCAGGTCGGAATGCTTGCTCTCCCACAGCTTTCGCAGTCGTTCACACTGTCTGGTGTGACTAGAAGCACCCAGGTCGGAATGCTTGCTCTCCCACAGCTTGCGCAGTCGTTCACACTGTCTGGTGTGACTAGAAGCACCCAGGTCGGAATGCTTGCTCTCCCACAGCTTGCGCAGTCGTTCACACTGTCTGGTGTGACTAGAAGCACCCAGGTCGGAATGCTTGCTCTCCCACAGCTTGCGCAGTCGTTCACACTGTCTGCCGCAGCTAGAGTCGGATGCTTGCACTCCTTTCGCTGAGGGTCCATGATGATCACACAGGCATCCTAAACACTTCCAGCTCTGTTCTGCAACTTGTGTGTGTCTTCTGCTTTGTGTCCAGTGTGGACAGGTCCTCAGGCTGGGCCTGGAGCAAGACCCCAATCTCTGTGTCTGAGTATGGGGTGGGAAGGAGACCCCGCCGGTCAGACAGACATGGGTATGTGACTGCAGGAAGCCAGGGGAGCAGAGCCTATCTAGAAGGTAGGGTTGGAAACAGAGACAAGGGGCACCCCGAGCTGCGGAGGTAGAGTGTGGCTCCGCTCCGTTGCAGTGCTACAAGGCTCCTCACCTCAGGAGAAGCAGTCACCCCAGCCCCGCCGCAGCTCCTCTGCTGTTTGTCTCTCTGTCCTCTCTCCGGGTACAGCTTGTTTTTACATAGTTGGCCCACAATGGGTATGTAGACGGTAGATGGCATTTCAGTCCACACTTCAGGGCTACGATGCAGAGCTCCAACCTGAGGCTTCAGGTGAGTAGAATCTCAACCCATAGAGCTCCCATCTCCTGTGAGCAGCAGCCCTAGGCCTCTTTGCCTTGGGCTCTCTTCCAGAGTTCAGTGCTTTAGACCTGCAATTATGGTAGCTTCCGTGTGGACATTGGCCCCGGGCGTGTCTGTCTTGAGACATCAGGGTCTGTGTCTCATGACAGTAGCACCTCATATCATGCACGTGCCAAAACACCCGGGTTCAGAGGTCATTGTGAGGTCCCTGGTGACATCGCTGGTGCCTTTCCTCTCAGGGTTCTTTGATCCAGTCTGTAGAGAACACCTTGGCACTGGTCTATGTAGTACACACTTTGTTTTGACAATGTTTTCGGGTTCTGAGTATGGACTACCTCTGTTTCCAAATCCAGGAATGGAAATCCCAGAAAATCAAAAGAAACTCGCTATGTTGAATGCCCAGAAAGCCGGACATGGGAAATCTAAAGGTAAGGTTGGTGGAGGCTTTGCCTCCTTCCTGTGGCTCTTGTGGTAATATGGAGGCAGTGTCCACAGAGAACCTTCTCCAACACTGGGTGGACAGACAGAGCCGGGACACTAAAGAAACAGACCCAAATTGACATGTAGGTGGAGTCTTTCAGGTTTGCATGCAGGTGCATGAAATACTTCAGACAGCAGCAGAGGCCTTCACGCCTCCTAGCCCTGCCAGTGCTCCCTGCTCCTCACATTCCTGAGGGGTGAGAGGGGATTATGGTACCACTTAGCCACCAGGCATCTTTGGTTTGAGGAGGAATCTCCATTAGCAAAATGCTTGCCCGCTATAGGTGACCAGGCGTATTCTTTTGGGCCAGCAACCACTTCTCAAATCATGACAGGGAGGCTTACTATTAGTTATGAATGCTCAGCCTCGCTTAGGCTTGTTTTTGGCTAGATTTTTCAAGTTAACCTGTTTCTCTTTATCTAACTATTGCCTAGGAGCTTTTTATCTTCCTCCCCTCTGTATACTTGCTCTGCTTCTTCTGTCTGTCTGCTGCCTGGCTGGCCTTGGGTGTCTCCCTTCCTTTTTCCCTCATTCTCTCTTTTCTTCTCTCTTCAAGCCTAGCTTTCTCCTCCTATTATTTATTCTTTTTGTCTGCCAGCCCCTCCATTCCTTCCTTCCTCTCTCCCTCCTTCCCTCTCCTCTCTCCCTCTCTCTCTCTCTGCCTAGTTATTGGCCATACAACTCTTTATTAGTTCAATCAGGTGCCTTAGGCAAGTAAGGTGAAACAAAGGCTTCTTTAAAGAAACGAACACACGTCTACATAATTAAACAAATGTAACACACCTTTGCCTAGTTACAGTAACGTTTTACAACACAGCTGTACGTCGACACTCGACACTCTGCGTCAGTGGGTGAGAAGACCCTAGGCTTCTTCTCGAGTGTGCTTCCCCACTCTGTGCACAGGAGTGTAACTTGGCAGTGACGCAGAAGCAAGCGCGGCCAGGCCACATCAGGGTCCTAGTGCGCACACTCAATGTCCCCAGGGTAGATAGTGCCAATGAATGTCACCTCACCTGTTCTTGTGACACCCTGGTACCGTTACTCCTGTTTTAGAGAGTGATGAGGAACTAAAGCACAGAGAAATCAAAGAATTTCCCTCCAAATACTCAGGGCCAGTCAGTGTGGAGTAGCATTTGGGCCGAGGGAGTGTTGACTTCAGGCCTTGATTTGAGCATTGTTACTACTTACCCATCCATACCAGGAGCCCAGTTCTGATTCCGCCCTGACCTCCCTGGCAGTGAAAGGTGATCTGCTTCATCTCCGGGCTTCCTTCCTGTGAGAGTTTGGGGGAGTCTCCATGACGTAACCGTTGCTGACCCCACACCGGCTATCCGAAAGTCTTGTTGCTTAGGACAGTTTCTTAGATGGCTTTTTGATTTCTGTGAATCAGTTAAGTACTTCAAGCCCCAGTGTGGCTTTTAAGTGATTTGTCTGTCTGTCCTTCCTGAATTAGGCTACAGCAGCTGCCCCGTGGCCCCGCCCCACCAGAGCCTGCCGCCCGTTCACCAGCGCCACATCACCGTGCCTACCAGCATCCCGCAGCAGCAAGTCTTCGCCTTGGCCGAGCCCAAGAGGAAGCCGTCACTCTTCTGGCACACTTTCCACAAACTAACCCCCTTCAGAAAATGAGCCTCACTCAGGATGTGCCTCTGAGGTACTGTGGGGAGGAAGGCCAGGTTCGTCTCTTCGGTGTGGTGTCCGGTGTGGTGCTGCATGCTTCTTTTAGGAATCTGTGACGAGGAGAAGGAGTTGAACTCATCTTTGATCTTGAGAGGCCCTGCTGCCCTCATGGAAAGAAGGGCACCGTGAAGCACTGCTCTGTCCTACACTGGAAGCCGAGCTGCGCTCTCAGGTGGCCGGGATGTGGAGACCAGGCCTCTCTCAGCATGGGAACAGCTGACCCAGTGGTCCTGTGAGTTTACCACTGATGGTCACACCCCTGCTGCAGTTCCAGACAGTTCCAAGAGCCTTTCAGTCCCTTGGGGGCCACTATATTAAGGATGCCTTCTGTGTTTGTTTTTAAGCATTGATGGAGATTGGTAGGATGTTGGCAGCCATAGGATGGCCTGGGTCAGGTCAGGCCTGGCAGAGACAGTGAAGGGGTTAGAAGTGCTGGGCAGGTGCCCACTGTTTTCCAAGGTGTACCTAGTGCCAAGCAAGAGTGTAGGCTTCATCTTACAAGGTTCCCTGTTCACAAGCTAGGGAGAGACAGGAGGCGCCTGTCGCCCCGGCAATGTGGGTCATGATAGCATCCTCAAAGCCGCGTGCTACTTCCCTGACCAGAGGGAAGGGCACTGCCAGCTCGTTTGTCCTGCTCACAGCACAACTGAAGAAGCTGCCGTTCACAGAAATAGTGGCGAGGTGAAAATTGTTTCAAGTTTGATAACATGAGAATGGGCACCCGCGCATCTTCAGCAGCCATTTGCAGTTTCTTCATCAGTGAGGTGATGAAGACACAGAGGTTCCACAGAGAAAGCGAGAGACAAAGCGTCCTGCTTCCTGGGATGTGGAGATACCTGTCACATGACCTTGAAACGGTAGTTCACGGGCTGTGTCATCTGGAGGTTGACTCCTTCGCTCTGAGAGACAGTTTAATGAGTTTAACGCCCACAGAGAGTAACCTCCCTTTGTTGACATTGTGGAATTTGATAAAAATGCTTTTTAACCAGATATAAGGAAGACTGGTCCTACATTTTAATCGACACAGTGAGCTGGCAGGGAGGGATCCCACCATGCAGCTGTGCCTTTTGGACAAGCTTGTTCTTGAGAGCAGTTCCTGCAAGGTTCTCCTTGCTCCTCAGCTCTTGCTTGAGAACAAACAAGTCTGCAGTGTTAGAGATGAAGATATTGGTCCATCAGCACGGTTCCTCTACCCAGTTCGCCCCAGCTAGAGCTAGGCCTAAAGCTACTGACCTCACAGCAAATCACCTTGACCCTGGACCTGGGGTTAGCCTCGGCCTTGCTGTGCACCCTGGGCGTGTTCACTCAGAGGCAACACTGCTGGGGATTGTGGTCAGAAGCCCCAGGGCTGGGCTGTTTCTGTGTGTCATGAAGTGGTTCAATGCACAGAACGTGTGTGTGTGTGTGTGTGTGTGTGTGTGTGTTAGAGAGACAGAGAGCGAGTGAGAGAATCCTTAAATAGATGCCTCAGCTTAGCTGCATTTCTATAACTGACAGGTTGTTTTTGTATTTTACTAACTGAATGCAATGATATATTTTGGAAATTATACTTAGTGTACTTTCTCTGCTACACTGTGTCTGTCCGGCAGTTTCAACAGTTGTGCTCTTAATACGTGAACTGATTTGAGGAAGTGAAGAGAGTCTTTTGGTCCTGTTTATAGTCACTGATTCAACCTGAGGCTCACTGCAGACTTCATTTGCTGTTACAGTGAATGACAGTGAAGAAGTAATACATTAAGTTTGTGACTGGTCCTGATAGATTTCCCAGCTGCCCTAACTTCCGGTTCCCACCTACCTCCACAGACCTCCTAACAATCCCGAGTCACGGTCAAGACCTGGGCCGGCCCCAGGCAATTTTATACAGTGTGAGAAGTGTTTGATCAAATGTCTGACCCGGATGAATCTTACTTGGGATTTCTGGGTGAGTTTGAAAACTAATGTGTTTTTAAAAGCTATAATAGCCTTTTGACTTTGTAAAAAATCTGTATGTCTATATAAATTTTATTACCAAATACCTGAGTTCTACAAAAAGTGGAAGACCTTAAGTATTATTTTTAGTTCTCCAAACTTCCTTCTTGATTTGAGGCTTGTGCTCTACTTTGAAAGGAAGAAAAGAGAAACAGCACGGAGCCTCTTGCCGGAATGGTGTCTGAGGCTCGTGAACGTTCCCTCCCTTTCCCTGAACGGCCAAAACAACTTGTGATTTGATTTCCATTTTAATGATTTCATTTGTTCTGTCGTTAGCATTTCAGAATTTGCCAGCTCTGTTGATACAGTTGAGAGGGCCTCCCTGGTTTAGATTATATATGACCACCATGTGGTAGGTGAAAGGTGATCATAAATAATACTTGAAAGTGTATAAAAAGAAGGAACATTCCAGGCTTTGTCTCAAGAGTAAAAGGGAGTGGTAGACAGCTAGTCGGGCTCTCAAGAGACATATGGTAGACCTGCTTCTGCAGGCGGGAACCATCACCACTATGGAACGCCATTTCTAAATACTGTGCCTTTTACTATCCAAGCCATTCAAGACTGATTCCACATCCTACGTTGCTGTTTTTACATACAAAGCAAAAATGTATTTAATTTGAAATCCAGTTCCCAGTGGAAGTCTTTTGTAAGCGCCTGCGATCCAGCATCATGCGTGTGTGGAGAATTAGACCTGGATATTTCTCAGGACAGGTCAGTTCTGTTTCCAGTTGGAGTTTCCTGGAGCCAGGGCATGGCTTCTGCATTTTGTCTTCATTCCAGATAGGAAAAGCAGAAGTGTCCCTCAGGCCAGTGCCAAGAAGTGTGAGTCAGTGTCTTTCAGCAGCGTAAAGCTAGGATATTGGGTGCAGTGTGCCCACAAATGGTTTCTTCTCAGGATCCAGGGAAGGGGAGTTTGAAGGACTTGGGACAAAGTAAGTAGCTAGTCTGGGGGGGTGAGGGAGTCAGCTTATATAATGTATGAAAATTTGCTTAGCCATCCCACGTACTTCATTATTACCTTCATGGTCTCTTAGGCATGACCGTTTATATTTAGAAAGTATTTTGAGCCACTTCTGTAATTTAATAATTGGTCCCTTTTGGGGGGTACACGTTGGTGCCCAGTGTGCATGACTTGCTGACTTCTTGGCTATGCTTTTGGTGAAAACTAATCCATATTGGGGTGCTGTGGTCTGTGTAAGTCAAGTGCTACTCTTGAGATGGCGAGTTGACCTTGACACTGAAATAGGATCTGTGTGCAAGATGTGCATTTTTTTGCTAAATGAAGGGTTTTTTGTTGTTGTTGTTTTTTAAAAAATAGGTATTTGATTTCTTGTAAATGCTGTGAATCTCTATTTGTCATTTTGTATCTGTATATTAAAATACTTCGTCAAACTGGTCTTAGTGATGCGTCTCCATATAAAGTAAGCCACATTGTACAAAAAGAGGTGGGACTGGGGCATGCACAGCGCCCTGCTTTTGCTTCTCGGTCCTGTGTGGAAACAGTGTGGAAGCACAGGTTGGTGGATGCAGGTTTCCCCTGGCTACATAAGGAGGTGAAAGTGAACCTAAACCTAACCTAAACCGCGATCTCAAGAAAAACTCTTTAAAGGCTGCGGTTTCTGGAGCTTACAGATCCTTCATTGCTCCGACCTTGGCGCATCTTCCTAAAGACTCCTTCCTATTGGGTGGGAGGAAATCACTGGGGGGGGGGAGAGAGGCAGGATGTTGGAGAAAGGCTCTGAGGAGAATGAGGAAAAGGGCCATTGGACTTCCAAAGCCGTTAGAGTAATATAGGAGCCAGAGAGGGCAGTCTGTTGCAGCAATTTCCCATGAATGGTGGGATGTGGGTGACCAGGTCTCTATGTCTCTGAGTGGCCAGAGCTGCGGGCAAGACCCTTCACTGGGAGGTGAGCTTTTGGCCTTGACCTCCCTCTCCCAGGGTGTGGGGTGAATAAGAATTTCCTCTTCTCATTAGCAAGCTCAGAAAATCCCAGTAAACAGCCCATTGTTTGCTGTGACTAATCCGAAAAGGGTTCCTCAGGGTTACCAAGGCTGCCTCCTGCCTTCTGTGGACTCCCAGCAGCATCTGTCCCCTGGTACCCTTGCTCACCTCTCCGTGGGCTCCGCTGGGTGAAAGGGTGACAGTGGCAACACGGTGACCTGGCATGGTTCCATACGTAGAAGGAAGCGTAAGTGGAGGGCCCAGTATTTTATTCTAGAAGAGTTGGGGTGGGAGGAGGGGGAAACAAGCATGTATTAGTTGGCTGCTGTATGCACAGGAGACCATATCCCTACACAGGAGTATGTGGTTGGAAAACCCTATAGAAATACGATGAAGTTCATCCTTGCATCAATAGTGCCAGAGATGTGACGTAGGCACACGACAGCTCCTAGAACGGAGTCCGGTCCCCGACAAACTTCAGGCCAGGACTCAACTCCTAAGGACTTCACGGAGGTCCAAGGCCCCTGTAGGATTCTGTGGATAAACACATGGCTTCTGCTGAGTCAGCTGGGACCAGGTGGTCTCTGTGGAGCTGGATGTTAACAGTTGACTCTGACCCTGTGGCACTGGTTTCAGGTGGCATTCCCTAAAGTGGCCAAATGGCTCAAGGCCAGCTGTTGCCAGGATTGTGAACCCAGGTTACAGTGAATCTGAAATCAGGTAGAGGGATGCCCCGGGAGATAACCTAGCAGACTTTGCGGTGATGCCAGCAGGTCTTGGGGAAGGGGAGTGACACTGGTGACCGAGTCCTCTCCTTATGCAAAGAATGAGTTGGAGTGCCACAAACAGGCAAAGGAGTAGTGTAAACAGTGGACCAGGCACCCTGTCAAACTGCTGATTCTGCTAGAGCTAGGAATACAGCTGGAGAGAATTCCAAGTGGTCAGGGGAACAAAGGGGACTGTGTCAGCTTGAAGCTGCGTGACCCACAGAGGTTCTTCTAGCAACCAGCTGCACTGCCCACAAATGAAGGGACTTTGGGGCCTGGCTGTGCCCCAAAGAAGCCAGATCTAGCTCAGTGGATGCTCCCAATCCAATCCCACCTCCTCCTGGGTATGTCGTTGGGGCTGCCTGCTGTGCTGCTGAGGGCACATGGGGTGTGGTTTGCTGTGTAAGGTGAGACTTCCCAGTACCTGCATACCCAGGTGGCTGCTAGGTAGACCTCATGCCCTTCTCAGCCTAGCGTCCTCTCATGTTCCTGAAACTTGTGTTTGTGACTGAATGTCTCTACCCTTCTCAGTAGAAGCTGGAGGGGAGTGACTGCAAGGTGTGGCTGATGGTAGCTGAAGCATGCTCGAGGAATGATTGCAAGGTGCAGCCCACAACAGCTGCAGCGTGCTCGAGGAATGATTGCAAGGTGTAACCCATAGCACTGCAGCATGCTCGAGGAATGATTGCAAGGTGCAACCACGATGGCTGCAGCATGCTCGAGGAATGACTGCAAGGTGCAACCCATGGCAACTGCAGCGTTCTCCATGGGTTGAAGAGTGAATGGAAGGACAAAGTCCTCATCTGCTCTGTGCGTGGTCTAAACTAACTACTCAGACGTTGGAAGGGTCTGGTTGGGTCATGGTAATGCCGCATCGGGCACACCAACAGTTGAAACTCGGGAGTTCCTGAAAGGGAAGGGCAACTGTCAGGCCCAAACAGAACCCCGATTTTCCCCAAAAGCAGTGGATAACCTGCTCTGCTCAGGCTGGGCTATAGAGGGAACAGCATTCCTCAGGAAATCATGAAAGGGGTTTCTGTCTGCCTGAAAGGTCCGTTTCCCTTGGAACATGCCTGTGGACACATATCAAAGCCTTCTAGACTCCTCAAGTCCCTATCCACATGTACCTGTTACACATTTCAAAGCCCTTTTATGGAGAAAACTTTTTTCCCCTGTTTTTTTGAGAAAAGTCTTCTTGTGTAATCCTGGCTGTCCTAGAACTTTTTTTTTTTTTTTGACCAGCCTGGCCTTGAACTCATAAAGATCCACTTGCCTCTGCCTCCTGAGTGCTGGGATTAAAGGTATGCACCACCACTGTCCCCAACCCACCCCCCTTTAAACTGAGGACTGAACCCAAGGCATTGTGAGTGCTGGGCAAGCGCTATACCACTGAGCTATTAAATACCCAACCGGGAGAAAATAACTTTATTTTACCGTTTACTATATTTAAAGGGCTGAGCGGGTCACTGGGAATATCCAGCCTTACCTAGTACTTCAGAAGTCACAAGTACTCAGAGCAACCTCCTGACCACACTAACCCCCAAAGCACATCTGAAGGCCTTTCCCTTCTGCCTTCTGGCTGTCAAAGTGTCCTGCGGAAATGTGAGTGCCAAGGGGAGGATTAACTGACTTGTAGGGTACCCTTGATTTTAGTTTTGCCCTTGATGGAAGCCACAGGCCATAGTAACGAATCATTTGAAAGTTCTAAGTAAACAAAAGTAATCCTGATGGTCTTCGATGCACAGGCCACCCAGTTACTATCACGGCCATTTGTGTCATTTCTGTGTGTCGCCCCACAATGGACTCAAGGCCAATAAGAAGCTGCTGTTCACATTAAGGAAAGAAACCTGCAATGAGGATCCGTTTTCCCACATCCCACCTGCTGGAACACCTGGGGTCCCCTCATTTTACCTCAGAGGTCGACAGAAGAAAGAGGTAAAGTTTTCCACACCCAGGGGTGCTCCAGAGAGATGCCACCTGACCCCAGTGCTGCTGTGATTTTTGAAGCTCATCCAAGACCTCTTGTGCCTCCCTCCGTCCCCTCCCCTTCCTGCTATTTTGCAGTTATGTCCACTGGGGAGTTGTACGGCAGGAAGGCATGATTTTATTTACCGTGTGTGGGCTCCCTATTCTCACAGTGTCCGTGTGCAGCCTAGGACTTCAGGTAAGAGAGACGGAGAGGATTTTTTTTTTCCCGTGTTGAGTTGAAGGCGCCTGGGTTCCAAGGTAGCCGGGTGTCTTTAAAAGCTCTGGGTGTGAACAGCGGTGATCTGCTTCTAAAATGTTTTTCTAAAGGGCAGACAGGTGTGGTGGTTCATACTTGTAATGCCACACAGGAGAGGCTGGCACAGAAGGCTTGATAGAGAGAGTGAGTTCTAGTCAGCCTGCCTGGGCTGTAGTACGAGACTGACTCTCTCTCTCTCTCTCTTTCTCTCTCTCTCTCTCTCTCTCTCACACACACACACACACACACACACACACACACACCACACACGGGGCGGGGGTATTGGGATGGTGGCGCTAAACAGGAGAGAAAAATCAAAGATTTTCACTTGCCAGAATTCTGCAATACTGGGCCTCGGAGGAGGCAAGAAAAGCAAAACAAAACAGGATAAATCACAAGAATAGCAGCCCTTCCTAGAGAAGCTCACAGATGATCCGCTACATGTTTTAACGAGTCTGTTTTAATGGTTACGTCTCTGCTAATTTGTATGGTCTTTAAAAGCCTCGTGCGTGTCGAGGAAAAGAGAAGTGCTGTGACATTGTGCTGAATATATGAGAAAAGCAAATAAAGCCAGCTTAGGGAGGAGGGACACCGTGATGTCATCCCTCCTGCTTTATGCTCAAGCAAGCCGGGCCTCAGCAAAGACTGCTCACAAGCTGGCCCAGCGTAGCATGCCCGCCGTCCAGCACTTGGAATGCTGAGGCAGGAGGGTCATGAGTTCTCAGCTGCCCTGAGTGGCGTCAGAAAGACCTTGCCTGGAAAAAGTCAGGTTGTTCTCCCGATTTCTGTCCAACGTTAGTGTTTGGGGCTTCGTAAGGACTTTGAAGTGTTTGAGGGGACATAAGGAACCTGAAATGTTCTTCCCCTTGACTGTGAATTAGAGAAAATTAATCAGAAGAGGCACCACAAGTAGCTTTTCCTTTTAAACGTGGGCGGGTGTTAGGCCAGAACTGTCTCTCTGTACCACCTTGGAAGCCAGGAGAGAGTCGCATCATCTGGAACTCGAGTTACAGATGGTCGTGAGCAGCCCTGTGGGTGCTGGGCATTTAACCCAGGTCCTATGGAAGCCCAAGCTCTTAAGCACTGAGCCATCTCCACCCTGGCAGGTGGGTTTTTATGGAGAGGTTGGGACGCGAGGGGGACGCTGGTAAAATACAAGAGGAATTGGTGTAGAATCTACCCGTCACCCGTGAGCTCAGCAGCAGAAGCCGCTGTGGATAACTCATGGATGTGGCTCTAAGAAAACTCAGCTTCCTGAAGTGGAGCGCATTCCTGACTGAAAGGGAAACAGCTGGGATTCCTCTTCCAGAAACACTTTCTGTATCCCATAATACTCCACAGCTTCCACTAGAGGGTGACACAGTTTTTTGGACGTCACTCAGGTTAAGAGCACTGTGGGTAGCATTCAGTTCGTAGCACCCACGTCTGGCAGCCTGTAACTCCAACTTCCTTGGGCATCTGATGCTCTGGACTCCAAGGGACTTTATGTTCATGTGTGTGCACTCGTGCACTTGACACAATTAAAAATAATGAAAAAATAGCTACAAGTGTGTAATTAACACTACAAAGACATTTTCCACAGGAAAGCCTCTTACCTCGTCATTCTGAACATTAACATGTTGGGTTATTTACATATATTTCTAGTTTTTGATAAAATACCTGCATCAATATCTTCATAAGGTGCCTGTTATTTTAGTCTCTAAACACCACTTTAAAATTCTTTAAACCTCTACTTTATTTTTTGCATGTCTCTGTGTGTATTGTGCTTGTTGTGTGGATAGTCTCAGAGGCCAGAAAGAGGACTCATGAGCTCAGAGGCAGTGCAGGAGCTGAACTCCAGTCCTCTGCAAGAGCAGCAAGAGAACATAGCTGCTGAGCTATCTCGCCAGCCCCATTTTAGTCTTTTATGTTTTTGCCTGGCTCTTTTGAGACAGAATCTCATCCGTACTCAAGCTGATCTTGAACTCATCATCCTTCTGCCTCCAGGCATCTTTTACATATGTCATCAATCATGATAGCTCTTTCAGTGCTTATGTACGGTCCCGCTCCCTGTGTCCCTGTGTCTGTTGTTAGCCATTACATAATGTGCCCTTTTCCCCCCTTAACAGATGATGCTGCAGGTACCTTCAGCACACAGATCTTGCTTTATTATGAGTAATTTTAGAGATGGCACTCCTGGATCAAAGGGACAGAACCCCCCTCATTTTTTTCTTTTCTCTCCTCTCTCTCTCTCTCTCTCTCTCTCTCTCTCTCTCTCTCTCTCTTTCTTGCCTTTCCAGAGGCTTATGAACATCTATGTTACTGCAGACGGTACATAAGAATCTGGGATCTAAGGGTGGCATTAACCCGTGTGTTCTTCTTTGTTTTGTTTCATTCCGAAATTCTTCAAAGAGCTGTCATCACATCGTCCTTGCCTTCAGCCATTGCTGTTCAATCTGCTGCTCTATACTATACTGGGGACATAATGTTGAAAATACAGTCAGATGACCTGTGACCTTGTATCAGTGCAGAATCCCTGCCAGGCGGCTCCCGAGGGAGAGGTGATGTGGCACTTTGCATGCTCAAGGGTTGGTTCCTCATCGGCATCCCATGGACTCAAACCCCGCAGGGACTTGCATGCTGATCCTATTGTGGAGAGCAGTTTGCCAGCCATTCTTCCCCTCTCACCCGGATCTCAGCTCCAACCTGAGGCTGAAGGCAGATTAAAAACAAACAATTACGAAGAGGCGGGAAGCCAAGTAAGAGGGCCAGTGTTCTCAGAGGAAAGGAGTTGGGAAATGGGCTTCCCCCAAACTGCTGGTGTGTGCACAGGCCTGGGCCTCAGCCTGCTGTGTGCTCAGGAATGCACTATCACAGAGGCTCGGGTGTCTTTTTGCTGTAGCCTTGGTGGTTAAGCCAAGAACTCGTACCTCACACAAGTGTTCTAGCACTGAGCTGAAGCCACAGCCCCAGCGTCGATGTTTGGTATGTTGCTGTTAAGGCCACATAATTTCTGTTATATGTGTATAGCGCTGGGATGGGACTCAGGGCCCCGCGTGTGCAAGGCAGCCTTTCTACAATTGAGTCACTTCCTCTGCTTTAATGTTTTACTGTCTTTTATCGTGAGCAAGCGTACATATAAATTCAAACTTTCCGGTTGAGCCGTCTTAAGTGTATGACTGAGAGCAATGAGTACATTCACAGCATCCTGTAGCCATGTAGCCGTCCCCATCATAGACCTGCAGAGGTTTCATCTTTCCCCCGAACAGCACCTCCTCCCCTTCAGCTCCTGGCACCCACTATGTTGCCTTCTCCATGAGTTGGATTACTTTGCATGCTTTAAATTTAACAGATTTAACTTTCAATCCCAGATTTTGTCACCGCTTAATGTCCTTGAGGTTCATCCATGATGCAGCATGGGCTGGAATTTTCTGCCTTTCTGGGGGCCAAATGGCATTCCACTGTATTTATACACTACATATTCTATCCTCTATGGCCTCGTGAGCTGCTCCCCCTTGTGGCCTCTGTGGACATTGCTGCCAGGTACAGAGATGTAGGCAGACGTAGGTAGCTAGCAGCTACCAAATAAACACACAGAAGCTTAATATTACAAACGCTCTGCCAATAGCTCAGGCTTATTATTAGCTAACTCTTACACTTTAAATTAACACATTTTTCATTTCTTATGTACCCTCCATATGGGTTAGTACCTTTTCTCAGTACAGCATGCCCAACTTGCTTCTCTCTGTCTCTCTGCTGGGGACTCCAAACTCCACTCTTCCCCTTCCCAGTATTCTCAGTTTGGCTCTCCTTTCTTACTTTATTCAGTTATGATATTGGCCAGTCAGCTTCTTTATTAAGCCAATCACAGCGACAAATCTTCACCGTGTACAAAGGGATTATTCCATAGAACAGAGTTTGTTCAAGTTTCTCAGTTTTTGTTATTATTGTTTTGTTTTTGTTTTTCTTTGGCTCTATTCCCAGGAAAAGAATTGCTGGCTCAGATGGTAATTCTAAGTGAACATTATTATTTTCGTGTGCTTTTTCATCTATTTTGTGGTCAAATTTGATCTTTACATCAGCTCCATGAGATAAGAAAACATTTTTCTCTGGCTCAAAAAAGTGGCTCACTCAAATTGAAACAATAAATTTGAGTCTCTGGAACTCAAAACTCGTCTTCCACATTTTACTGACTATTAAAAGTGGTCCCAGTTGTGTGTTACCACCTGAGGACAATATGCCTTTCTTTTCTCCCTCTCTCTCTCCTTTCCCTTCTCCCTCCCCCCTCTCTCTCTCCCCCCCCTCTCTCTCTCCCTCCCTTCCTGCTTCCCTCCCTCCACCCCCCCCCTCAACAATAGAGTCTCGCTATATAGCTCAGGCTGACCTAGAACTTAAGATTTTTTTTCTCAGCCTTCTGAATGCTGGGATTATAGGCATGTGCCACTCTGTCAGGCTTGGCGACAGCTTGGTCAGGTGCCTGGTTTCTGCCTTTTTGCTCCGATTATCGGACACGTAAGATCATGTTCAAGCCGTTGTCAGTGCAGAGAGAAAAGGCCAAGTCACTCCCCAGCAACCATGTCCATATCAGAGACCAAAGCCTGTCCCATAGCAGAGAGGAGGGCCTGTGTCCATGCCCAGAGACCAAGGCCTGTCCCATAGCAGAGAGGAGAGGTTATGAAGCCAAGAGATCAAGGCTGGGTCTCATCGCAGAGAGGAGAGGCTGTGTCCATGCCCAGCAACTATATCTACACACAGTGACCAGACATTTTTCAGTTTCTGTTTTCCTCTTCCCTCCCAGTCCCTGTCATCTGATCATGAAGATTTGGTGGCTCCTTCTGGTTATGGGTGCATGTGCAAAGAGTGCGTACTCCCAGGACACCTGCCGGCAAGGGCACTCTGGCATCCCGGGGAATCCAGGTCACAATGGCCTCCCGGGAAGAGATGGACGAGATGGCTCCAAGGGTGACAAAGGAGATACAGGTACTGAACGTCTGCAGCTTCTTACTGCCTCGTCCCTCTCTTCCTGCTGGTATACTGTTCCACCTGCCCACGGAACCCTCGCCCACCAGTGTCCCCATCTTGTCTCTTTGTCATTGAGCTACCTCCCCAGCTTGGTCCAAACGGATTTCCTAAAAACACATGTGTTCTGGTAGCCCATGCCTTTAATCCCAAAACTCAGGAGGCAGAAGCAGATGGGTCTCTGTGAGTTAAAGGCCAGCCTGGACTATATATTGAGTTCCAGGACAGCCAGAGATACATAAACAACAAACAATAGAAAGAAAACAAACAAAAGTATCTGTTTCTCTCTTTTTCCATTTAGTTCGTATATATATTCTACTATGTGTTATTTCTTTGGAGAATGATGTTAATGCGGGCTGCTTGGGAGGAAAATCTGCTGCTTCTTTACCCGGTACTCTGAGGATGCGCTCTATGTGTGTATGTTTTGTTGTTTTGTTTTGTTTTTTTTGAAACAGGGTTTCTCTGTGGAGCCTTGGAGCCTGCCCTGGATCTTGCTCTGTAGACCAGGCTGGTCTTGAACTCACAGAGATCTACCTGCCTCTGTCTCTGCCTCCTGAGTGCTGGGAGTAAAGGTGTGCACCACTGTTGCCCAGCTCACTGTGTGTTTTACATAATCAACACACAATTAGTACAGTGTCCATAACATACATTCAATTGTTCAGGTAGATGTTAAAGCTCTGGCCTGTATTAAAAACTTTGAGATATACAGAATACAAGAATTTGGAACTAAGCAGGGAAAAAGAGAAATTTAGTAGGAACGCTCAGGCTTTAGGGTGGTGCAGACAAGGAATGGGAGATAATGGAGAGGAGGGCTGCTTTGGGGATACCTCCCTCTTGGTGGTTCAATGGGACTCAGGACTTGCTTGGGGTAACAGCAGGCTTTATGATAGATGCAAACCAACCCGTGTCTCTTTCCAGTCGTGAGAGTTGAAGGCTGTCCCAGCTGCTTGTCACCCCACAACTACAATGGTAGGGTTTAAGTTTTGGGGTCTTGGCTAACTTGAGCGAGACAGAACCTGGAGTAAACCATGGCTTTGTGAGCTCTTCTGTCACCATAGTGTGGCCGTTACTTGGTGGCCTGCTCCCAGACTCAAGATGGTGTGTGACTACTGGAACCCTTGTGTCCCATCCCAGCTTGCTCCGCGGTCTTCACCCCGTCTACCATGCTTTTCCTTCCCCAACAGTCATGGCACAGAGTTCTCCGATGCTTCACAGCACCTGGAGAGCCTTCCGCTCCACTCTTCGAGTGAATGGGATTGGAACGAGAGATGCATCTAGCACCTCCCACCTTCAGATCACTTCCGAGTCCAAGTCCCGAGACAGACTTGCAGCATGGCCCTCTGTGTTTCAGTTTGCCTTGCTTCGGGCTCCTTGGGCACCCCACAGCTGGGTGTTCAGGAAGTCACCAACACATTTTATAACCTGCTCATCCTACCTGATCCAACACCCTGGATACTCACCAACAGTTGCTACCTCCACCTCCACTGGTGGAAGAGGAGGCAGGCTGGGGCAACCCAGGACTTCCCATATCAACCACTGCTGGAGACTCATAGCCGGGAGATTGGAACTGGCCTCTCAACTCTTGTCTGCTTTCCTCCCTTCCACCTAGGAGAACCAGGACATCCCGGAGATCCAGGGAAGGATGGAATTCGTGGGGAGAAAGGAGAACCAGGTCAGTGGTGACTTTGCGTCATCCCTTGTACAGTGTTCTGACACAAGGCTGGACTGACAGCAGCCGATCCACACTGCTGTGAACTGATCTGTCTGGTGCTTCCAGGATGAACCATTGTATAAGTCAAGGTTCTCTAAAGGGACAGAACTGGTAGAGTGATTGTATATAAATATAAACACAGAGAGAAGGGGGATGGGGATTACAAACTGTGGCCTGTGTAGTCCAACGATGGCTGTATCCCAACAGGGAGGCCGAGAATCTGTTGTTCAGTTTATGAGCCTGGATGTCTCAGCAGTTCCAATCTGGTTCTAGAGTCCTGGGGAATTCCTAAAGAGCTGTTGATCCTCAGTCTATCTTGGAACAGTGAAGAGGTAGATTCTAACACTAGCAAAGGAATGAGTCAGCAACAGGGTGGAAAGGTTTGCCAGCTAGAACAAGGGAAAACGGGCAAAAACCAAAACCTTCCTTTTTTTTTTTTTTTTTTTTTTTTGTCAATCACAGTGGGCTGATGACAAAAGGTATGGCCAAAACTTAGGGTGGGTTTTCCTGCCTCAGATGATCCAATCAAGAAAATCTCTCGGGCTGGAGAGATGGCTCAGAGGTTAAGAGCACTGACTGTTCTTCCAAAGGTCCTGAGTTCAATTCCCAGCAACCATATGGTGGCTCACAACCATCTGTAATGGGGTCTGGTGTCCTCTTCTGGCCTGCAGACATACATGGAAGGAATGCTGTATACATAATAAATAAATAAATATTTAAAAAAAAAAAAGAAAAGAAAATCTCTCACTGGGTTTGGTGGTGCATGCCTTTGATCCCAGCATTTGGGAGGCAGGCAGATCTCTGTGAGTTTGAGGCCAGCTTGGTCTACAGAGTGAGTTTCAGGATAGCTTGGGCTACACAGAGAAACACTGTCTCAAAAAACAAGCAAACAAGAAAGAGAGAAGGAGGTAGGGAGGGAGGGAAGGAGAGAGGAAAGGAGAAAGGAGAAAGGAGAGAGGGAGGGAGGGAGAGAGAGAGAGAGAGAGAGAGAGAGAGAATATGAGAATGAATCCCTTATAGGTAGGCCCAGATGTTTGGGTTTTAATTGACTCTAGATGTATTCAAATTGATAAGCAAGATAATCCACCACAGCCACCAATATATTCTCTCTCTTCAATAGTTACAGGTACATACTGGGATATGTAAACTTCTGGAAATGTCCAAATGGAAATCAGTCTCAGCCTTGTGGGTCATGGGATCTGCCTGTGCACCAAAAGGCAGCCTCAGCTGCCACACAAACAGGTGTTGCCATGTTCTGGGACAGCTGTGGCTGAAAAAGCAATATTTGCATTTTATATACTTTTTGCATAGTATGGAGTCCTGCTTTGTTTTCCCCAGCACTGGGGATTAAACATTGAAATTCATGCATGCTAAACAAATGATGTGCCACAGCCTTTTTTTTCAAAAACATTTATAAACATATATTAATTACAGATAACGGGTCTGCTGTGACATTTTCATACTTGGACATAATGTTTCAGTCACATTCATCCCACTACCCTCTCTTGGCCAGTTCCACAGATCCCTTTCTGCTGCTGCTGCTGCTGCTGCTGCTGTTGCTGCTTCTCTCCTGTCTGTTTTCCTTTCTTGTATGTGTGACCCAATGAGTTCATTAGGGAATCTATAGGCACATGGGTGAGAGTGTGCTTGTGGGAGTGGGAGACCCTTACTAATTAGCTAACTGCTGAAGAAAGTGTGTCTCCCTCTCCATCACACACTGAGTGCATAATCAGGTAGGAGGCAGATTGGGGCAGCAGGCTACAGCGTGCTGACCTCGCATCAGTGCGTGAGTACCAAGGAGGAAGGTCCTGCTTCACTCAATGCATCTGGCCCTGCTTCAGGGAGAAGGTGTCACTTGAGTAGGGCCCTGGGCTACTGGTGACTGGTACTTTCCCAGAATTAATTGCAACCTGAAGGGTAGGGAGTAACCGATGGAGAAAGACGGCTGTAATGCCAAATACATGTAACTCATTCTGGGGATTAATCTAAGGCTTTTTATGAAAATAGAAGCATTCTATAAATTGGGTAACATCACTGTTCCAGCTCTGTAGATGAGGGGCAGATGTGATGGGGGCTCACTGTCTGCTTGTCCTGTATTGTCCACAGATGCTGGGGTTGGAGAAAGGTTGGCTAATGTTCTGGGGTAAGCCCAGGCTCTCTGCTCATGAGCATCACTGCCTCCCAGTCCAGGCGGAGGGAGTGAACGGTGTGGAGTGTTCATGTAGACCGAGGAAAACTGGCATGGAAAGGCAGACGAGGGCTCCACAGTTGGCAGGCATGGGGGCTACAATGAATGTCTGATTCCAGGTCCCACTCCTTGAGGGACTGAGGCCCTGTGACACAGCAGCCTGAATTGGTCTGCTCCTTGTCATAGTGTCCTTCAATGATGTGTGCTTTCCCCTTGTTTCTGGCTCAACATGGGACACTTTGGTGGCACAGTTGTCGATACTCAGATGAGCCCTGCTACTGACTAAAGTATGCTTTTGGAGGCTGGGGATGTGGCTCTGTTGGTAGAGTGCTTGCTTAGCATGCACGAGGTCCTGGGTTCTATTCCTGGCACTGGATAAACTGGGAGTGGTCAAACACAGCTATCGTCCCAGCACCCAGGAACTGCAAACAGGAGGACCAGAAGTTCAATATCATCTAGTTACTCTCGGTTATAGTGAAGTTGAAGCCATCCTGGGCTACATGAGACCCTGTTTGTTTGTTTGTTTTTAAGTTGGTTTGTGTGTGTGTGTGTGTGTGTGTGTGTGTGTGTGTGTGTGTATGTGCTTACACATGCATTTCCCTGCATGCAGTTTGGGAGTTTGTGACTTTTCAGACTCTGAGCAGATCTTTGAACCCACACACTGCTTTATCTCAATTAAATGCTTAGTGATAGGAACTCCAACATTGCTCACGAGGAAATGTAACCTAAAACACCTTCATTATCTTTCTCCCTTCAGGAGCAGATGGAAGAGTTGAAGCAAAAGGCATCAAAGGTGATCCAGGCTCCAGAGGATCCCCAGGGAAGCATGGCCCGAAGGGATCCATTGGCCCTACAGGAGAACAAGGGCTGCCCGGAGAGACTGGCCCACAGGGGCAGAAGGGAGATAAAGGCGACGTGGGCCCCACTGGTCCAGAGGGACTGATGGGCAGTACTGGACCATTGGGCCCCAAGGGCTTACCTGGTCCAGTGGGCCCCATTGGCAAACCAGGTCCTAAGGGAGAAGCCGGACCCATGGGCCCCCAGGGGGAGCCGGGAGTCAGAGGGATGAGAGGCTGGAAAGGCGATCGAGGAGAGAAAGGGAAAGTGGGCGAGGCTCCCATCTTGCCTAAGAGTGCCTTCACTGTGGGTCTCACGGTGATCAGCAAGTTCCCTCCTCCTGATGCGCCCATTAAATTCGATAAGATCCTGTACAATGAACTGAACCATTACAACGTGGCGACGGGGAAATTCACCTGCCACGTGGCCGGCGTCTATTACTTCACCTACCACATCACTGTTTTTTCCAGGAATGTGCAGGTCTCTTTGGTCAAAAATGGGGCAAAAGTCCTGCATACCAAGGATGGTTACATGAGCTCTGAGGACCAGGCCTCTGGTGGCATCGTGCTGGAGCTGAAGCTCGGGGACGAGGTGTGGATGCAGGTGACGGGAGGAGAGAGGTTTAATGGCTTGTTTGCAGATGAGGACGATGACACCACCTTCACCGGCTTCCTTCTGTTCAGCAGCTCTTGACACAGTGGACTCTGCACATGGGCCTCACTGAAGGCTCTGCTGGTGGACATGGTGCCCCCAGAGCTAGCTCGGGGGCAGTGGGATGTGACTGTGTCCATTCTTCCAATTATTGCGTCCATCCTAAAGTGCAGAGGTGGGAAGCTAAGCCTACAAAGTCAGTCATTCGAACACATTCATAATAAACTAACTCAGAGACACCGACTGTGCACCAGTGTCCCGTTAAGGCAAGAGACCAAAGAACTTCCTCTTAGTGTCATTGAACCCAGAGGGAGTCCAGATTTGAATTCTCTACTTTGTGTTGTGTGTCTTCCGTCCTCCCTGTCTGTTTGCTCTGAGTCTGAATCTGTGTCTGCCTGAAGGCTGTCTTGTGAATCTGTCCCTGTCCCCCAGCAGAGGGCTGTGTTCTCTCTCTTATTAGAAGCACAGAAATCATCATATGGAGAAGGGAATGAGGGATGCTTTATAGAAATCTTTAGCACAGTGTCACAAGGGATTAAGTCACTGACTCCAGCTGCTCCCAACTGACCCAGGAACTTTCTCTGTAGACCAGGCTGGCCTTGAACTCTGATGTGGGAGTGTCATATATCAATCTGTTGATTTCATTGGTTAAGCAATAAAGAAACTGCTTGGCCCTGATAGGTTGAAACATAGGTGGGAGGAGTAAACAGAATAGAATGCTGGGAGGAAGAGGAAGTGAGCTCAGAGAGACGCCATGCTCCCCTCTCCTGGGCTGATGTGAGAGCTCTGCTCTCTGAGGCAAACGCGATTCAGCTCTGACCCAGGATGGACATAGGCTAGAATCTTCCCGGTAAGACTGATGCTACACAGATTATTAGAAATGGGCTAGTCCAGGTGCAAGAGTTAGCCGAGAAGAGGATAGATATAATGGGCCAAGCAGTGTTTAAATAAATTCAATTTGTGTGTTGTTATTTCGGGGCATAAGCTAGCCAGGCGGCCGGGGTGCTGGGGACGCAGCCCCGCCGCTCCTATTACAACAGAACTCAGAGATCTGCCTGCCTCACCAGTGCATCAGCATACCTGGCTTAGGGATCTCTTAAAGAGTAAAAGAATAAACAGTGGCCCTGTTTGTTGCAATTAATTTTCCCCACTGGAGAAGGAACCCAGGGTTCCTTGCTAGGCAAGTGCCCTGCCATAGAGCTCTATCCTCAACTTGTTTGTTACAATGTATTTAAGACATCACCATTCCCGAACCCAAGGCGTCCTTTGCTTGTGTGTTTGCAGTGGGAAGAGTTTAGAAGAGTTCTGGTGTCCCTTTCCTGCTCTAAGGGCCATATTGTGACATCTGATATTAGAGGAAAGTAAGAGAAAATGAGATGGGATTATGGCTGAGTGAGTAGAGCATTTGCATGGTATGCATGGGTTCCATTCTCAGTACTCAAAAAAAAAAAAAAAACCCTACTTGCTCCATTTAATGACTAGCTGCATTTCATGACACCCCAGGAGGCTACTCAATACAATGATGGGTACCTTGTTTCCTACTTAGGTGTCTGTGTTACACAACTCAAGGAACAGTTTTAATGAATCTATAATAACTTTTTAGGTTACTTAGACCACCTAATCGAGGTGGGTGGTTTAAGATATCAGAATGTAGCCCGGCAGTGGTGGTGGTGCAAGCCTTTAATCCCAGTACTCGGGAGGCAGAGGCAGGCGGATCTCTGTGAGTTTGAGGTCAGCCTGGTCTACAGAGTGAGTTCCAGGACAGACTGCAAAGCTACACAGAGAAATCCTGTCTTGAAAAAGAAAACCCAACTAAACAAAACAAACAAAGATGTCAGAATGTACTCTGTCCCAGTGTCACAGTTCTGGAAGCAGAAATGGGAGGTCCATGTGTCAGCAAGATTGAGACTAAGTCTCTGAAGCAAGATCCTTTCCTGACATTTCCAGCTTCTAACAGCTCCTGGCGTCTCTTGGTTTGAAACACATCACTTCAGGGGCTCTGGCTATAGTTCCACACAGGGTTCCCTTCGTAACTGCATATGTCCAATTTTTCCTCTTCTAAAGAGGACATCAGTTGTACTGATTCAGGCCCATCCCAAACTGATTACATCTGTAAAGATTCTACCCAACTAAGAGCTGATTGGCAGGTACCAAAGATTAGCACTTTAATGTGTCTTATAAGGAGACACCATAGTCTGCCCTCTGAACTTGCCTCCAAGTTTATGTCCTTCCTATGTCCTAGAGATCAATAGACCCTGCCCTAACATCCTCAATTTCATCTTTATCACATATGCCCAAAATGTCATCATTTAAGCCATTTAAACCAACAACAGGAGAGACCTATTGTGTGATATATCCTGGGGCAGAATCTAGCCAGATGGAAACCTTCAGTCCGACAAGTTATTTGCTTCCAGAGTACAGCGGTGGGATAGGCATAAGATGCCCGCTAAAGGGAGAAAGGGAAAGGCAGAAAGGGCTCACAAGTTTCAACGGATTCTGAAAACCAGCAGAGAAAATATTAGTGTGTGAAATACTCAATCTTGCCACAACACTTCTGTTCTCTATGTGATCTTACCGCAGGGCTCTTTGGGTATGTTTTAGGTAGACTCTCTCCCTGCCCACCTGGGTGCCTGGCAGTGACGGTGAACTGTCCACAGGTATCCACAGCTCATGTGCTCATTGGAACACACGTGCTTCTCATGCTGGTCTCCAAACCTGGCTGTGACGGTTAGCTGTCATGGCCAACTTGACTGAATTTAGAAGCTCCCAGGAGATACACCTCTGGTCATAACTGTGAAGGCTTTTCCAGAAAGCTTTAATTGGAGAGAAACGACCTGCCTTGAAGAGGGTGATAGCATTCCATGGGCTGGGATCCCAGCCAGAAGAGAAAGGAATGAAGGAAGCAGTAAACTTGCCATAGTTCTAGGCCAACCAAGCACCCTAGCTTTCTTTGAACTGACCAACCTTAAATTAGGAGGAAAACCCTTCAGAGGCTTTAAACTCCGGCAGGCCTTGAGAAGAGACTGGATTTTCGTTTTCCAAGTCCAAGCAGAGGGTCTTTATCTCTGTGTGCCTGTGGCACGTGTGTTTTCTCACCTCCGATAAACACCGCTCATCAACGGCTATTCTGTCTGCGGTGCTTGCGATTTCTCTGCTGCAACATGTTCCCCTTCGTATGTTTCCTGCCTTTCAATTTTTCCGACTGGCAGAGACAACGAACCCGCCCAAGACCCTATAAACTGTATCATTTCAAGGCCCCTAGAAGATATCAATGGTTCCAAAGATCAAAATAGATGAAGATTCTCTATAGTTAATTCACGTGGTTACACACAACCTTAGCTGATACGCCTGTGTGCAAATGTAGATGTGACTTCACTCTCTTTTGGAGCAGACAAGATCCTTGGATTCCGACTGCATGTGGCTTCTCCGGGATCCTTCCACGCGCTGCCACTGGGTCTCCTCTGAGAAGGCTACAAGAAGTCACATGCATTCCTGAAACCTGCAAGAATTCCAATTCCGGACAAGACTTTTCTCCCTGCACTCCAGTAACACGAAGGGCAAGGCAAACGCAGGACGTTCCTTCCTCCAGACACACGAGGGCGCTACGAAACGCCGGGTGCTCAGACGGCGCCGGGATGACGCTCTTGCTTGAGAGTCAACGCGCTCTCGTCCGGGCGCCGACAGGGCTGCGCGAGCGTCACGTGCCGCGGCGTGGGCCGCTGCCTTGGAAACGCAGGCGCGCGCTTCCTGAACCCGGGCTTAGCCGGGACCCGGGAGGGTGGTGCCGGTGGCCGTCATGCTGCGGTACGGCCGCAGACTGTGCGGCCTGGGAGCCGGAGCGGCTCTGCGGGGACCTACAGGCCGAGGCGGCCTGCTTGGCGGAGGTCGCGCCCGGAGAGTAAGCACCAGCTGGTCCCCGGTGGGCGCCGCCTTCAATGTCAAGCCCCAGGGTCGCCGGTGGGACCTGCTGGGAGAGCGCCAGGTGAGCGTGCCGTGGGTCTGGGCAGCGCGGGCTCCACCTCTTGCTGGAAGGGGACTGTGCCGGGATTAGTACGCTCTCGGGCTGCTGTCCCGCTGGCTTCCCACTCACTCAGCCCTCCCCCTGCCCAAGGTCCCTTTTTTTCTTCTTCTGACTTTAGAGTTCACACTTGTCTTTGGGTTTGTAACGACGCTCTTCCATTGAAAACCCCATCACACCTTAATTGTCCATTTCAAGCTGCTTTGAAATAACTTGTTGAACCCGGCATGGTGGCTCCTGCTTGGAAGGCTCTCTTGATGGGTAAAGGCGAAAGGGTTCAAAGGACAGTCCTTTTGGCTCCAAACCGAGTTTGAGACCAACCTGAGTTACCTAAGAACCTGTGTTAAAAAGGAAAGTAACGCTGGGAGGTGGTGGCGCACGCCTTTAATCCCAGCACTGGGGAGGCAGAGGCAGGCGGGTCTACAAGAGTTCCAGGACTGTTACACAGAGAAACTCTGTCTCGGAAAACCACACACACACACACACACACACACACACGCACACACGCAACAACAGAACACTATGGAAGAAAATCAGACTTGGAGTTGATTGCTTAACCAGACAGAATTGCCTGTGGTGGTTGGTGTTGGACACTTGATAATGAATGAGGGAAAGGAAGGGACGGTTGAGAGTGGATTATCCAATGGATCCCATTATTTTGTATTTGCAGATTTTGTCCTAAAGGTTAAGGGTTATTTTTGCCTGTTAGTTTCTCCCTGTTGGGCGCCTTTCTGAAGACAAGCCTGCGATATAGTTGCGTTGCATTTCGTGGTGTGAACGCCTCTGTGTTTAGTTTTGTCTCTTTGAAAGTTCTTTCTATATAAAATGCTAGAATAATGGCAATGGGTTTTTAATCCTACTGCACGCACTGGCTTTGGGGGAGCCTAGGCAGTTTGGATGCTCACCTTACTAGACCCGGATGGAGGTGGGTGGTCCTTGGACTTCCCACAGGTCAGGGAACCCTGATTGCTCTCCCAGCTGATGAGGGTGGAGGACTTGATCGGGGGAGGGGGAGGGAAATGGGAGGCTGTGGCGGGGAGGAGGCAGAAATCTTTAATAAATAAATAAATTTAAAAAAATGCTGGTATTAATGGAGTCGGTGGTAGATCTGCCTCAGTGCTGAGTTGAAAGATGTGACAAGTAAGCTTGATTTGGAGCGGATGAGAGATAACTGATTTCAGCCGCATTTTTAAACAATCATTTGTGTGTGTGTGTGTGTGTGTGTGTATGTGAGTTGGAGAATTTTTTTTAAAGTATTTTTATTACATCTGTTCCCCACCCTCTGTGTGTGTTCATGTGTATGTGTGTGTACACGAGTATGCGTATGCACATGCAGCGGTCATAGGACTTCCAGGGGTAGGCTCTTTCCTTGCATCATGTGAAATTATGTCATTAACCTTGGCCATCGTGTTTGTTGATAACCCCCTTTATCCACTGAACCATTGGTTTGTTTTTCGAGGCTGGGGTCTTGCTTGTATATCCCTGGCTGGCCTGGAATTTGTTAAGTGCCGGAATTCAGTTGTGTTGTTATACCCCAAATGTTTTCTCTTAAAGCATATTTCTGGGTGGATGTGGTAGCACCCACATATACTCTTAGCATTTTGGCTGCTTGGACCAGAGGAATGAGGTTCCAGGCCGCTGTCCCAGGAAACAAAAGGAACTGTAAAGCATATTCC